CCCTGTCTGCGCCCCCTGCAGCGGCTCCCCGCTCCCCCAGCGCCGTGTGGGAGTCTGCAGCCCGCTGCGCTGCGCGTGGGCCTCGGGAGCTGGGGGATTGCAGCACCGCAGGCAGGGGTTACCCGGGGGCCGTTTGCTGCAGTGCCTGGTGCGCTTTTGCGGGGCTTTTTTCCCCTCTCGGCGGCTTTGGGGCCCCCTTGCCACAACGCTGGGCGTAGGCGTGACTAGTCGTGGGGCTCCGGGAGGTCCCCTTTTCAGCCTCCTCCCCCAACAGGGAAGTCTGTAGCTAGTTACGTTCAGAGTCCTGTTGTGAACAGGCACCGATGACCCAGTTGTGTAAGGATGGTGATTAAAAGGGAGAATGAGGACTTGGGTGCGGGGGAGGGGAGGAAGGAAGGAAGAAGAAATGACTTTAGGTTCAATGTGGCTGGGTTACCTGACCTAGACTAGGAAGCATTTAAGGTGGCTGTCCCTAGCGATGGCTACCCGAGCTCCCACCAGTTCAACTAGTTGTGAAAACGTAATTAAACGACACATGCAGTTTTAAAAAAAAGTCCTGTTGGTCACAGTGATGGAGCAATTTCTTGTTTTGCTTAGCTGCGCTGCGGCGAGTGTATGTGTAGTTGTGTTGGGTGCACGGCTGCCCCTTCTCGTCCCCACTTGGATATGTGTGTAGGTTACAAGTCACTGCTGCAGTGTATTTGTCTGGTACTTTCTGGTGTCCTTTCTGGTGATCTGAGAAAGTGGGTCTGGCCCACGAAAGCTCATCATCTAATAAACCATCTTGTTAGTCTTTAAAGTGTTACATAGTCCTGTATTTTGTCTGGTACTGTGACTTTTAACTAATCACTTACACTCTGTATGAAGTCTTATACTTTAGATCCACTACCTGCCACCCCCTAAAATGTAATACATCTAGAGTGATGGTTTCTGAAAGTGGATGTCTCTGACAAGGTGCTTGGGACATGACAATAGATCATGTGTAATCATGTCATCCTGTTTTGGGAATATTTAAATAGTTTTTTCCTAAAGTTTTTTTATTTTGCCATTATAATTTATATTCATTTAATGCCAAGCAAACATAAAAATCAGAAACTATTGCCGCATCTTAAAAAAAATAAAATTATTATTTGGTTGCCTGAGTAAAGCTAGTTTTATTACACAAGTATAGACAGGATTGGGCCCAAGGCTGTACCTGATTCACTAGCAGATTCCTTTAATCTGAAATTAATTTTAAAGGAAATTGTTAACTTTCACATTTATCTACTACATAAAGATGCATAAATTAACCACAAATTTATGAAGTAATCTACTGAGCTGATGAGGGGGAAAAGACAGCTACTTCTAACATACTTGAGTAAGCAAATTCCTTTATATCATTCAGCTCCCTGTTTTGGATCAGTTGAATGCATATTCAACCACAGCAGCTGCTATTGAAATATTTCTATACATGGATATTTTGCTTTAAGTGAAATTCTGTTATGTTTGTGGAGTGAATTAATCAGTGAAAAGCAATGTATATGATGATTTCTACCAAAACTCTGCAGAAGCGTCAGTAAATTACTTAATGTAAATGCGGCTAGTCACTTCCAAGCTAAAATATAGAAGTTATAGAACAGTTAAGCAATATAAATCTATAATTTAGAGGGAAATAGTTGCCCTATTTCAAGATATACAAGTATATAGGAAATACTTACCCTATTTCAAGATATAGAAGTATATAGGAAATACTTACTTTTCCTACAGTTATGCGCAAGCGCAGTAGCACCTGCCCTACTGCAAATAACTTTCCAGCTCTGTTTACATACTTTCTTGACTAATCCTTTAAAGCACACACAAATCTTGATTTAAGGATCTGTTGTATAGCTATTCGCTCTTTTTGACCAGAGGTCTTAATGCTTTGTTTGCTAATAAATTCTAATCAGATCTGAAAACTGTTTCTACAGTATTTTTATACCTTCATATAAAAATGTCTGATCCTAAAGTTGCTTAGTATTTTATATTCTTTATTCTAATTTGCAACACTTACCATATTTGAATCTGAAGACTCTTTGTTATGTAAATCAACATATGAGTGGAAATTAAATAAAAAAAAATTAGTCTTGAGGTGTCTTTGTCATAAAAGAGCTCCCTTTTTTAGGACTAAAAGGGAAAATAAACCTTTTTAAATATTAAATATTTTTGTTTTTAATCTAGTCATAATTTTGTATTGGCTTATAACGTATTTAAAAAACAGTTATATGTATTATTTACTATCCAGATGGATTGACAAATAACTTATGTAAGATTATTTTGTTTGTTCAGTCTACCTTTACTTATTTATTTCCCTTTCTTTGTTTAATTTTATACTGCCTTTTTATCTATATTCTGATAGCAGCTGTGGGCAACACTGTATCTGCAGGCCTGAGGGTTCTTATTTGCCCAGTTAAAAACTGATCAAAGTTCATACTCTTGGCCAAAAAAAGGGGGGGGGGGGGGGGGGAGACAGTAACAGCAGATTATCAAAGCTGACCTTTAAAAAGGTTATAAAGCTTGTTCATTATTATGAAAAAATCCAACTTGCCTCTGATTCTCCTCAAATTAAGATGCAGGACACTTGTGGGATAACGGCCTTGAAGTCAGCTTTTCTTCCAGGCAAATGTCAAACTTCTTAAAAAATGGTTTTAAATAAGAGCTGATGTACTTATATGTTGTCAGGTAATGTAACTTTCTTTTCACATTTTTTCTTACAAGGAAAAGATTAAATTTTTGTTGAATTATGTGTTTGTGATTTACTTGCCATTTCCAAAACTCCGAGTGGAGGATGACTGATGCATTGTCTGTATGCAGACAACCCGTTTGTGTGTGAACAACTTATTTCTTACTTGTTTCATGATGCAATGTTCACAAGAAAGTTTAAATGGAAAAAAAATATTTTTTCCGGTGGAAAATTATTGAAAATTGTGGTACTGATTTGTAGCCATTCAAGGGAAAAAACCACTATTATCTACCTTCTATAGGATAGAGCCCCACAGAAAATCTTGAGCTATTACCTAGTCAATACAGAGTACTGGAACAGAATCCTTTCTTTAGAGAGCTTCTCTATCACTATAATATGTGTAAAAAGAAAAGATACTGACAGTGTTTTTGGAGAAATACTATAGTTAGTTTAAATGTAGGAATATCCATGCCTTTTTTAAAGCAGAATAATGCATGGTAAATAAAGTGTGATTTCACCACGTTCACCCAACTAAATTTTGCTATGTATTATGGCGCATACATAGTTTCTTAGAACCTTTTCTTCTTTTATATTTATTTTTCTCTTTGTAATTCTTTCTGTTTTATTGATTGAATGATTTGGACTCTCTCATGTGGCCATTTTCCTGTGGGTGTTTACGAAGGTTTACCAAGGCTTTGGTAATGGCCCATGGATTGTTGTTGTGTTTTTTAATTTTTCAGATATATATTCTCAAGTTTTCTGGGCTTTTATTAGTCACTGGAATCTCCTATGTAACAAGCCATAGAGTTCATTTATTGCCAGACAGCATGGAATGCAAGAGCCACAAAAGTTAGTTTTGTTAAAAATGGATCATTACGTGAATTTAATCCTTGTCCCCTTATGTATGAATAAATACATACTTAATCCTTATGTCTTTAGATAAAAATATTTTGCATGTATTATACTTTAACTTTTTTTGTTGAAATAAAATATGCAGTAAACACTAAGTGGGCAAGTGGCGATGTTGTGGTAGTGCAAGGAGGCCAATCAGTTTAATTGTTATATATGCGCAAACCAAAATACCAGCAAAAGCTAATTTCATGGGTTTCAGATATTCATTTTGCACTGAGAAATATAAGTGATTGGCTTTGTCCCATTCTTACTGATATGGGTTCTTCATATACATTGTACCCCCAAAATATTTATTTTAGTTGGTTGTCTTGGTGACCCTTCAGGCTAGGATTAATATATGGTGGTGCAGAAGCATCTTAGTGATACTTTTCCTGTCATTGTTTTTTCTTCATGGATAGATAGGACTTTTCAGGGTCATTCTGGTACCATTCATTATTTCTAATTCCTCTTAATACAAAGAGTTACTATATAGTCTTTCTTTTTAGAAACAATGCACATTCATTAATAATTTCAGTCAATAGCATTATACTTGAAATTTTAAATTTCATATTTATGTACTCTGCTTCTTTCAGAGAGACATTACAAATAAAATACGTGTAGCATATTTAGATTTTCTAAGCATAGTGAAGACACAGTAGGTCAGGAAGCTTAAAAAAAGTCTTCCTTTGTGCACAATCATGGCATATGATTTTTAAAAGCTACCCTGTCTGTTGGATTTAGCACAAAACTTCCATTGTCAGTACTCTAGCAGACTCCCCTTGTACTCTGTTGTAGGCAGTCTTCAAATCAAAATGAACTGTTAAAGTTGCCAACTGCGTGGGTGGGCATTGATACATAGGCCCTAGTGGAGGACAAGAGGTTACGACTTTGATTCTCAAACTTTTGTACAGGCAGTCCCCAGGTTACATCAATCCGACTTACGTCGGATCCCTAGTTACAAACGGGGGGGGGGGACCCAGCTAGTGCAGGGTGCCTCCCCCACTGTCGCCACCTCTGGCGGCGCGGGAGGCGCTTCCCCCCCCAGCAGACCAGGGAGACGCGGAGCGGCTTTTGTCGCCGCGGAGGATGCGGATCTGCTGGGGGGAACAAGACACCAGCCAAAAGGGGGTACCCCAGAGCGGAAAAATTAATTTCCTAGGGAACAGCAGGAGCAGCAGGCAGTGAGAACCATTGTGTTACAGTCCCCACCTTGGGAGCAACAGCTCTTCTTTCCCTCTTCAGCACTAGAGTTGCAAGTATCTTGTTAGTGTCATGTGAAATTAACAAGTCCCTTCCTGCCTGGCAGAGGTGAAGCTGAAAAATTACCCAGTGGTGTGGGTGGGCAAGAATGGGGAGGAGCAGGACAGAAGGGAAGAGGGGATAAGCCCCAACCCCACACCCTGGCTGGAGCAGAGCAGGGTAAGCCCCGAGGGGATGGGTCTGGTTGCAAAGTGGGTGAGTGGACAATGAGGACCCACCTGTGGCTAAACTCCTGTTCCAACACAGAATTTTTCTTTAAAATTAATCCTGTGGATAAATTCACACACACACTTCACAGGAAGGGATTTCCATTTTCTGCTCAGCAGAATACAACAACAGCTTTGATTGTATCAATATTTCACTGTGCTCTCCAATGACTATTGATTACACTTAATACCCATTTCACTGAACCATCTGTAGCAAATTCTATTTGGAACAGTAATATGCATTGAATAAACTTTTTTTAGTTATAAAAAACAAAGATTCTGACTATTAAGTGAATAACTGGGATCTTTCAGGTACCCCAAAAGGAAGATTTGTATATAGCATGAAACACTGAAACTTATGATCAATTTTTAATTAAAATATCAACCAAAAAAACCTTCATATCAAAACAGTATGTGTTTTTCTTAGAATAAGGAAGTTGTATGAGAATCAGGGTCTTTTCTACCTAACTCCAGCTCCCCGTCCTCCCCCAAAATATGTACCAGTTCCGACTTACATACAAATTCAACTTAAGAACAAACCTATAGTCCTTGTACGTAACCCCGGGGACTGCCTGTATTGATAATCCCTTTCACACATAGAGCCTCTGAGTATAACTGGCCCTCCTTATACATTTAAAATAGAGGTGTCAGTGTGGAGTTGACTATATGATTAACTCATAAACCTAGCCTTATCAGTTAATCTTTTTGACTACACATACAAATTCAACTTAAGAACAAACCTATAGTCCTTGTACGTAACCCCGGGGACTGCCTGTATTGATAATCCCTTTCACACATAGAGCCTCTGAGTATAACTGGCCCTCCTTATACATTTAAAATAGAGGTGTCAGTGTGGAGTTGACTATATGATTAACTCATAAACCTAGCCTTATCAGTTAATCTTTTTGACTACACAAGGCGATGATGAGGTGGGGGGAAGGCTCCCCAAGAACACTGGATTCACCTGCTGGCCCCATGTTCCTCACAGCTTTTCAAAGTGGCAGTGCTGAGTGGAGCCCTGGCTCAGCTGGGGACTCCCCCACTGAGCCCAGGTGCCGTACAGAGCTGCCTCCCCAGATGATCCATGTGGCGCTGCTGCTTTGAAATGCTGAGTGCAGCCTGGGGGCACCCCAACTGGCTCCAGGCTGTACGCAGTGTTTCAAAGTGGCAGCACTGCATGAAGCCTGGTGTCTGGCCCCAGGCTCCACACAGCGCTGCTGCATTGAAGCTCCACCTCTTCTCCTTCCCCACCCCCCTTGCTGCCTTTTTCTGATAGAGGCAGCAAGGAGGAGGGGGGAGCGACTAGTCGACAAGCCTGTTGACTATCGGATACTCAACTGGTTGTTCATATCCCTAATACTCAATTTAAAATACTTTACAAATATAACTCTGTTGTCAATGCTTTAGGTGAAGTTGGTTTGAAAGTTGACAGGTGAAAGGTTTGCCTCATCTTCATATGAAAAGGGTCCCCTGTCTATGAGGATATCCATCCTTTCATCCTCTGCTCCTATCCCACACATTAGAATCTGAATACATTAATTATGTTGAATATGGTGTGTGTTGGGGGGAGGGAGGGGGAGGAGAATAAAAATAAATCATGCTTAGAGTTTTTAGTTCCGCTGAGTAGTGTGGTATTGTTAGAGAATGGTGAACATGCATCACTTTTGGCAATAGACAAAAGCGTGTGATGTGAATAAACATTTTTGAGAAAAAAATGTACTATGGCTTTCCATATATAGGATAATAGGGAAACATCATCCTATTTTAATTTGGAAGAGGCCATGCATTTTATGTCCATTTCAATGCTGTTTATTCACATTCCTCAATATGCCTGTCTTGGTTTCATTTGTAAGATAAAATGGTACATGACACACTTTACACACATCCTAAATTGTCTGAACTAAGTACAGATACATGATAAATAATACTCCAATGTTTGTAACATTAAGGGTGGGTTTAAAAATATCTGCAGCATGTTCTATGCCAGTGTTGTTAATCTCATCCAGGATTCCCTAGTTTTAGAGGAGTAAAATAGTTGAGTATTCTTGTCAAGGATCCCAGTTTTCCATGTTGGGGGAAAAAACCAAAACTAAAAATAAACATAATTGTTTTTGTTATTTAAAACAAAATGCTGAACTTCAGTTTCCTTACTGAACACAGTGTCTTACTGATATACAGTAGAACCCCATTTAGCCAAGACCCAATTGTCCGGCTCTCTGTATAAACTGAACCACCAGCAACCCAGGCTTGACAGTAGTTGGGGCTCCAGTGGTCAGCCCTGGGCTGCTGGAGCTTAGAGCCCTCCTTCCCCCCCCGCCCCCCAAAAAGGGGGATAGAAAGCTCTTTGCCAATTCTCCTGCTTATCCCAAAATTTAGTTTCCCATCTGGCCCCAGTCACAATTAGATCAAATAAACATGGTACATTTTAAGATGCATTGGAAAAATTAACCACAAGAGGGGGAGGTTGTGCACACTGAATAAGTGAAATTGGCACTTTCAGTAAAATGCAGCTAATATTCCTTTTTCACAAAAACGAAAAAGTATTCTTTGTAAAAAGGCAAATTCTGAGGGGGGTTTTCCCATTGCAAACAGATTTTTAGGATCCCTGCTAATAAATATTCACTTATCTTTAGTTGCTCAGC